GGGTGAAGGGAGGGCAGGGGAATGGGGAAAAAATAAGAACCAAGATACATCATGTAAAGGTACAAGATCCCAGTGATGAATGTAACTGTATTGTATACCTAAAATGTACCAATAAACTTATTGGAAAAAAAAGTCATTTTAAGTTTGGCCTGGTTGCACAGGCCTGTAGTCTCAGGATTCGGAGAAGCTGAGGCAGGATTATAAGTTTGACCTCAGCCTGACCAACTTCACAACTTCAAAAAACACTATCTCAAAATAAAAATAAAAAATGGGCTAGGGATGGTGGTCAGTGGGAAGGCCCTTGGTTCAATCCCCAGTACTACAAAAATATTTTATTTCCTTTATATTTCCTAAAATTCATAAATGTATTATTATTTTATTTATTTATTTATTTTGGTACTGGGAATCAAACTGAGGGCCTTGCACTTGCGAGGCCAGCGGGGGCACCACTGAGCTAAATCCCAGGCCCATAAATGTATTATTTTGCTTTTCTTATGGCCACATGTAAAAAGCAGATCCATTTTAAAAACTAAAATAACTCTAGAACTACATGATCAAGAATGCTCCACGTTAGGTATTATACTGAAAATACTGAAAGGCATTAGTGTCTCATGAGATATTTTAGGTAGAATTACAGTTTCACATAATTAAAAGGCACTCTGGGAACTAATTTATACTATAACTTTCATTAATATATTCCAGCAGGAATTACCACATTTAAAGCAGCACAGCCATTTTTAAAAGTGTGGGGTTTTTTGTTTTTTTTGCAGTGTGGGGGATTGAACTCAGGACCTCGCGCTTGCTTTTGAGGCTGGCACAGTGCCACTGAGCTAAATCCCCGGCCCGGTTTTGTTAGTTTTTTGAGGCTGATCTTGCTATGTCGTAGCCTGCCTGGGTAGCTAGGACTACAGGCATACTTTACATGCTTACAGGGTACTCTATGGTTTGGGGTACACTGTGTAATGTTTAAACCAGGTTAAACATACCTGTCTCCTCAACATATATCACTTCTTTATGTGAAAATATTCAAACCAATTTTTCTGGCTTTTTAAATGTGCAGTGTATTATTGTTATCTGCAATCTTCCTACTGCACAGTATCACACCAGAACCTCCTACCCCTAACCACAACTTAGGGTAGCACCCATTGGTCAAACTTCCCCACCCTCTTCTCTACTACTCTCTACTCTCTTTTCCTAGGGTCTGGTAGCCACCTCAGCTTCTGCCACCAACTTTTTTATGTTCTTCATAGAGTGAGGTCACCTGGAATTGTTTGTGCCTGACTCATTTTAATTAACATAATGATCTCCAGTTCCATCCATGTTGTCATGAATGATGGAATTTTATTCTTTTTAATGACTGACTAGTATTCCATGGTGAATATGTATCATATTTGCTTTATTCATCAGATGAACACTTAGGTTGTTTTCACTTCTTGGTAAAAAAGAACTGCTTTTTAAATAACTTTACCTGAGTAACACCAATTTCCTTCATCCTTATGTTACTCTCTATAACTGGACATCCATAATACCACCAAAAGGAAATTCAATGCAGTGACTGGCAGAAAACGCACATTCCATCATTACCTAAGGACCAACAACCAGTAATGTAGCTTATTACAAAATCCTAATTGACAGTGTCATAATGAAGTCTTAGATTAGAAATAAACGCCCATCTTTTTATAAGTATGCAAGACCGAATAGATTGGGACTGAGAAGCATGTAGTAAAGAGTAATAAAAGGGTAGAGGAAGATATATATTTAGATTTAGATATGAATATAGCTTTGTTTGTTTTGGGGGGGGTACCGGGAATCGAACTAGGGTCCTTGCGCTTGCGCAGCGGGCGGCGAAACCACTGAGCTAAATCCCCGGCCCTATTGTCTCCCTTTTTATTAGTAAGTTTGTAATTTATATTAAACACAAATAGTCTTCCAAGTTCGGGTAAATTAGAAAAGTGTGTCTTCCTTTGGTGTGCTGGCAAAAGTTCAAGATCTAAAACAGTAGAGTTTAGTGTTTTTCGTACCAGGGATCGCCTGCAAGGCAGGCTTGGTGCCGCTGAGCTAAACCCCCGGCTCAAAAGCAGTGGGGTTTTGAACTGACCCTTGGCTCTGCTACTTACTAAACCGTGAGACCTTAGGCAAATCAGTCTTCTCATTCTTAACTCCTTACAGCACTTCTGGAATATGATTTTCGAATGGCAGACAATGAATGGCGGTCTGTTATTTAAGTGTCACTCTTCTCACTCACAATTACGATCTCCAGCAAGCACGAACAGGGCCACAACTCAGCTCCAGTCCAGAGACTCACGCCCGCAAGGGTGGCCCAGGGCTGAGTAGGGACTTCCGCCCAGCCCCGGGCGGAACCACACCCAGAAGCCGGGCGGAAGAAGAGAGGACGTCGGTGCGGACGGGCGGAAGCGCCGTGGAGCGGGACTACACTTCCCAGAAGTCCGCGGGACGGGCTCCGCGGACAGTACCGGCCAGGCCCTCTCCTGCAGGCCAAGGTAAACGCCGGTACCGCGGCTCCGAGGGGGCCGCGCCGTGGGCTGTGCCGGTGATTTGTACTCCAACCTCCGGGCTCACCCGGGACAGAAGCGGCGCTCCCCCGGACTCCCGAGTCCCGGGGCCCCACCCCAGCGCCGGCTGTCCGCCCCGCCCCGAGCCGGGGTCGCGGTTAGCGCCGGCGGAGGCCGGGGCGCCCCTCAGGCGGCCCCCTCGGCTCCGCGCGCCCACCAGTCCTGCCGCGGGGGAGGCCGTGCCCGCCTAGCAGGGGCGAAGCCGCGGGGGAGGCGGCCGCGCCCTTCAGGTCCGGCTGCAGCTCCGTCCCCGGCCGAAGCCCGCACGCACGGCTCGGGCGTCCCTGGCCAGGCGGGCCGCGTCCCTGCGGGGTGGGCGGGGGCTGCGCGCGGGGCGGGCACCGCGGCATGGGCGGTGCGGCTGCGGGGCCGCACCCGCCGGAGGCCGGGGCCTGTCCGGCGCGCGCTGGAGATGCTCTTCCTGGCGGTGAGTGGCCCGGCAGGCCCGCCCCGACCCGCGGCCGGGGAGCGCAGCGCGGGGGCCCTGGCCGGCCGCCCCGGCGCCGCCTCCTCCTGGGCGCTGACCCGTCGCCGCTCCCCTGTTCCAGTTTCACGCAGGCCCCTGGCAAAGCTGGTGCTGCTGCTGCGGCCTGATCCCCCCGGACCGAGCCTGGGAGCGCGGCCGGCGCTGGCGGCTGGAGATGGCAGACGCGAAATCCGTGCACGAAACCAGGTTCGAGGCGGCCGTGAAGGTGATCCAGAGCCTGCCGAAGAACGGTACGTGCGGCCCGCGTCGCCCGCTGCTTAGCGGCGCTTCTTTTGGCCCTTCTGGTCCCCGTCTGGCGTGTGTGTCCTACTTTTTTTGGGTTGAAGAAGAATGGGATTGAAGGGGAGGCATTGAATGTGACTTGATTAGTTGCTGTTCTTTCGAGCCAGAGATGGACGTATTATCCAGATTTTAAGTGGTTCATATTGTTATTGTTGAAAACCAAAAGCTTCTCGATGATTGCGGATTTGGGTGTGCTTAAAAAAAAAATCTTGAGGGGCTGCCCATTCGGGACCGCTCCTGCCCCTTAGGAGCTTTCCTATCAATAAACATCTTCCTACTTAAAAAAAAAAATCTGAGCTAGGGATGCCTAGTCGCACATACTCAAGAGTCTACACTTAAAACCTTTTGAACTTTCCATGTGAAGGAAGGGAAAAGAACAGCCGTATATCCATATCTATATGTATCTGCATGTGTGTGTATATATATATATATCTGTAAAACGATTTCTTTTTATTTTAATAAACATTTTATTACTTTTTTGGCGTTATTCTGTTGTACTTTTTTGTACTCGTATTGGACCTTGATTGAAGATTGGGAGATAAACCAAGAGTTGTTTTGTATTTAATATATTTTTTCTTTGCGTGTTTCCAAGATTTTTCCTTTTGGTTTTCAGTTATTTGACTATGATGAGTCTATGTGTTGTTTTCTTCCTATTTATCCTTTTCACAGTTTGCTGAGCTTTTTGCATGTGTAATTTTGTCTTTAATGTTGCGAAAATTTCGGCTATTTAAATATACGCATATATTTTCTAAGTGGAGAATCTTGAGGAAAGAGACTTATTTTCCAATTCATGTTCTTTTATGTCACATGAATTAATCTTTACAATAAGCTATATATATATGTATATATATAAAAACATATACATATATATATGTACCGGAGATCGAACTCGGGACCTTGAGCTTGTGAGGCAGGCCGCGGAACCACTGAGCTAAAAACTCCACTAAACAAACGTAAAAAAATACTTTTGGGCCGGGGATTTAGCTCAGTGGTTCCGGCGCCTTCCGCGCAAGCTCAAGGTCCCGAGTTCGATCCCCGGTACCGAAAACAAAAAAACAAAAAATACTTTTAAGCGTTGTTATTGTGCCAGAGTTGTATACCTAACTGGATACAACATTGATATATTACTGTAATATTTAATATTTTGTTGTTAGATTTCACGTTTTAAATTATCATTTGTCTAAGTAATAAATATTCAAAAGTTCACTTAATTCAGTAAGTGTAGATTCAAAAAAAATTTTGAAAGCAATGGTAGAGGTTGTGCTTAGCATGTATAAGACCTTGAGTTCAATCCCCAGCAACCTCCCATCCACCAAGATTTTTTTTTTTTTACCAAGTTTTGAAAATAAGACATAATAGTGTTCTTTCTATAATTTCAAACATCCCATTGTAGGAAGACATATGAAGGATTGAAAATAAGGAATAAACAAAATGTAAACAAAGGTATGATTCTGAGAGTTTTATGTAAGTAATACATTCACTTTTCTAAAGATGCATTTTTACGGTTTTTTGAAAATAGAAAAAGCTAGATTTGTTGTTTCCAGCTTCCTATCTCTTAACATTACTTAGTTAGAGGGCCAGGGATTTAGCTCAGTGGTTCCGGCGCCTGCCTCGCAAGCGCAAGGTCCCGAGTTTGATCTCCGGTGCCAAAAAAATATTACTTAGTAAGAAACCCGTATGAATTTCAGAAGGTATTGCAAAATCACGGTAACTTGTCAATAGCAGTTGTGTGCAGCCAGCCGTCGCTCAAGGTAGAGTCCGCGCTTAGCACGCAGAGGACCTGGGTCTGATCCCTGGAATAAAAAAAAGGGTAGTGTGTACTATCACCTCCTGAAACTACATTGGTATTTACTGAACCCCAAGTTTGTTATAATGAATTATTGAATGTTTTATAATACTCTTTTAAGTTTTTTCTACTTTGAACTATTTTGCAATGGACAAGATTGTGTTATTGTTTTGGTTTTTATTTCTTAATCTTTGTTTAAGGCCTGAAGTAATAATGAATCCTGTGGTGTCTGTGCTTGATATGACTTTGGCTTTTAGAAATGAAAATTCTTAGTATTTTAAATGCGTATGTTGTATTAAAAACGTGTGGGTACTTTGAAGACAGAGATCATACTTTAGTATCTTACAGAAGACATACAATAAATGGTTTTTGTTTTTATGCATTACATATATCACTTAGCTAAGCGAATAAACCCAAATCTTATTTGGTTATCTTACTGAAGGTACTATGAGATGTAATTTTCGTGTTATTTATTAGTGACAATTAGCTATGGTTTCTCCACTTTTCCCTCCACTGTATAAAAAACTATATCATTGAAATAGTATATCTAATAGATACTTTTAAGTATGCATGTATTATGTACATAATTATTATGATGATTTAAAAATTAATTATGGACTCTTGGTCAAACTTGAAATACAAGTTCTCAGCTTGTCTATGTTATAATTTCCATAGCTTTTGTAAATTACTAGTTTTTGATTACCACGTGTTATTTTATGCTATGAAGTATTTAAAGTAGCTTTTTTATTTTTATAGTTTTTGTTTAAAAGTGATACATACTGATGTTAAAAAATTTTTAAACACAGGTAATGAAAAAGTAAATCAAATAATCCATATCCAGAGATATCCCTTTTAAATACTTGATGTATATCCTTCTTTTCATGTTTATAAAACTTATTTTATAAAAAGAGGGGGCCAGGGATTTAGCTCAGTGGTTCTGCCGCTTGCCTCGCAAGCATAAGGACCCGAGTTCAATCCCCGGTACCAAAAAAAAAAAAGATATATATATATATATATATATGTATATAACATATACTGGTTTTTTTTGGGGGGGGTTGGTTGTTTTTGTTTGGTACTGGGGATTGAACATAGGGTTTTTGCACTGAGTTATATCCCCACCTTTTTTAAAAACATCTTTCTTGAGACAAGGTCTTGCTAAACCAATAAACTGTCTGAGCTGGGCTCAGACTTGAGCTCTTCCTGCCTGGGGCTCGCTGAGGGCTAGGATTACATGTGTGCCACCTGTATGTACCCTTCTTCAACTGCTTTTCCTCCCTTATTTTATAGTAGATCGTGGAATTTTTCATGCCATTTTAAAATATTTTTCTACAATACAATATAGGGCCATATTTATAAATTATTCCATTGTATGTGTATATTGTAATGATTTAGGCATTTATTATAAAACATTAGCACTCCAGGTTTTCACTTTTACTAAAACTATTGCAACTTGTAGTGCTTGCTTATGCAGTTTGACTATTTGAAACATAAAAGATTATAGATATGCTAGAACATATATGAAGATTTATATTCAAAGAAATTGATGACTCCAAACCTATAGAGATAGAAATTGAGAAATCTATTTTATGTTGGACTAATTCTTTTTCTACCAAGGTATGTACTAGTTGGCTTTAGAAAAAGTTCCTTATATCCAATGGGAAATTAAAATTTGTCCAGGAGTTGTTGAATTTTTACTGTAGCAGTTTTGTTAAACAGTGCACATGTAACTTTCTCATTTGTGCTAGTCAGTTTTCTCCCCCAACTTTTTTTTTGGTACTGGGGGGTCAAACTCAGGACCTTGTGCTTGCAAGGCAGGGGCGGGGCCACTGAGCTACATCGCTAGCTATGCTTGTCAGTTTTGATTGTTACAGCTTTACTTGCACAATAATATTCTGTATTTTCACATATTTATTTTTATGTGACATTTGATGGTTATTTTGAGTACATCTATAGCATGTTTGTTTAATGAACTATTTTTTGCATTGTCATAAAAGTGTAAATTTTCAGAGATTTTTGAAAGAGGAACAAAATCTATGTAGCTATCATAACTTGTTTCTAATGTAGAAACAAATCTGAACTATTAATAAAATACAAAATCACTACTAGTACTTTATGGTTATGCTGATACATAACCTTAAGTTATTGGTTGTATTCCCTAAGTGCTCTGAATTTAATGGATGTTTCCAATAGGTTCATTCCAGCCAACACATGAAATGATGCTCAAGTTCTATAGCTTCTATAAACAGGCAACTGAAGGACCCTGTAAACTTTCAAGGCCAGGATTCTGGGATCCCATTGGAAGATATAAATGGTAACTTTACTTTTTAATTTTTTTATTTTTTGGTACCGAGGATTGAGCTCGGGTCCTTGTGCCAAGCGGCGAAACCACTGAGCTAAATCCTCGGCCCAATGGTAACTTTATTTATAGAGCTAAGAAAGAATTTTAATGACATAATTATCATGCTTTTAAGCTGTTACTTATGTGGTTATATATTATTCTGCACATAAGGCATCATAGGTACTGGATACAATTTTTATCCTTAAGGGGCCCCTTAGTACAGTCTTACACAAAAGGAAGATTTTTTTTTTTTTAATACCAGGATCGAACTCGGGACCTTGCACTTATGGGGCAGGCGGCAGAACCACTGAGCTGAGTCCTCAGCCCATAAAAGGAAAATCTTGAGGAAGAGAGGAAAACAGTAAAACCAAGAAGGGTAGTACATGAAAGATCAAAGCACTTTCCTTTTATGGAGTCTTTCTTTTTTTCTTTTTGTTTTTATTGAGAGAGGGTCTCACTGAGTTCAGGCTGGCCTCGAACTAACTATGTAGCCCAGGCTGGCCTTGAACTCATGCCAATCCTTCTACCTCAGCCTCCCGAGTGCTGGGATTACAGGTCCAGCTTCTTTTCTTTTTTTTATGCCCAGAGAAACTCCCAAACTAAGGAAAAGAACAAACAAACTCCCCTACCTCTTTTAGCTGCCGAGAAAAATAGGACTTTTGTTTGTCAGGTAATATTATTTGCTTTGGGCTTTTAAGACAACATGAGTATGACTCAAGTACTGCCACATTAACTTTTTATCTGTGCTGACTTCTGACCTACTGAACTTGAATAGAAACATGATTTTTTTTTTTGGTGCCAGGGATCAAACTCAGGACCTTGCACTTTCGAGACAGGCACGGTGCCACTGAGCTAAATCCCTGGCCCAAAATTTGACTTTTAATGTACTTAAAAGAATCATAAACTACCAAGATACTTCTACCATTTTCCCAATTGGCTAACATTTTATATTCTTAAATACTATTGGAGACTTTTCAAATGTTTGACAAAAGTTCACTTTAGACCATATTTTTTCAACAAAGTGTGCCAGTTGGTAAAATGTATTTTAAGAGCCACTGAATGCTAAATTTTTTTTTAAGGTGACACATTTATTAAAGAAATTCTTTGGAACTATAACATAGTTTTTTGTAGAACTTCTTTTAAATTAATGATCATATTGTATCAACTACATACTGTATTCTGCATGACTGAAAATCAGTCATTTTGTCATTATGTTATTTTCATTTCTAGGGATGCTTGGAGTTCACTGGGTGATATGACTAAAGAAGAAGCCATGATTGCATATGTGGAAGAAATGAAAAAGGTTAGGAAAATAATTCATAATAGACAATAAAAGTATTCAGAAGAACACTAATTTACTTATATCAGACAAATTAGTTGCTTTGTTTTAAGGAACAAGGAGCTTGTAATATGTTATAGAATCTAGATTATTAAATTTATTACACCATTATCTACTTTATTAAAGTTCATCTTTTTTTATTGGTACATGTTAGGTATACATAATGATTACATCCATCATAGGGAATTTGTACCTGTACATGATATATCTTGATTCTTCTTTTTTTTTGCGGTACCGAGGATCAAACTCAAGACTTTGTGCTTGTCCGGAAGGCCCGGCACCACTGAGCTACAATCCCTGGCCTTTGATTCTTCTTTTTTCCCATTCCCCTCCCCTCCCTTCAACTCCTTTTCTCCTCATTTACAAAAAATTTGTTTCCATTTGTTTCCTTCTATTTTCATTTTTTTCTCCTCCCTCCCTCCCTCTCTCCCTCTCTCCCTCTCTCCCTCTCTCCCTCTCTCCCTCTCTCCCTCTCCCTGTTCTCCCTCCCTCCCTCTCCCTGTTCTCCCTCCCTCCCTCTCCCTGTTCTCCCTCCCTCCCTCCCTCTCCCCCTCTCCCTGTTCTCCCTCCCTCCTTCCCTCTCCCTGTTCTCCCTCCCTGTTCCGCTTCTTATTTGACTATTTAAAGTTCCTCTTAAGATGAGTGTTTTTTCCTTAAGATATATCACATTGTATTTATGTTCGTCATCCTTTGTGACCAAATAACTGAGAAAAACAACATAGAGGAGGAAAGATTTCAGCGGTTTCAGTCCCTGGTTGGGTGGCTTCCAGGCAGAAAAATCCTGGTGGAAGGGTGTGGTGGAGAAGTGCCAGTTCCTTCATGATAGCCAGGAGGCAGAGTGAGAGAAAGAGCCAGAGGGTAAGGTGCCAGGGACAAGATACCGTCCCAAAGATCACAACCAACTGCCAACACCTTCATGACCAACGACCTTCAGATATGTCCCACAGCCTAAGTTTCTACCAGTGAATTAATCCCCATCTCTGAACACATGAGGCTTTTGGGGAACACTTTAGATCTAAATCATAACAGTGGAATAGGATATTTTAGAGTCACACCCCCTGCCCCCCACCCCCTGATGTTTCCTTTTTCTGGTTGGCTACAGGAGAAAGTTTGGGAATAGAAATCTTTTTGCAGGGAGGATTTTTTTTTTGGTACTGGGGATCGGACTCAGGTCCTTGCACTTGTGCAGCAGGTGGTGAAACCACTGAGCTAAATCCCCGGCCCCTAGGAATAGAAATCTTGAAAAATTATTACTCAGGAGTTGGAGAAGTACCAGGACTGTCTTGAAAACATTTATGCTTTGCAACATTTTATTAAGAGAAATAGTTAACAAGATTCTTTTACAACAAGGTTCTTTTACAAGTTCTGTCTCATAAATTACTATGTCTCCATCAGTGGACTTGGTAGTGACAAGTGTTTGTCTATGAAGGCATACGTCTTTCAAAAGCAGAGTAAGATAAGGATACTTTTAGGTTCTCTACCAATCACTGAGGGGGGATATCTCTTGTTAACTAGCTCTTTAAGTTTATCTAAGGCATTGTTTTGAGGAACACATTTATGAACAAATCATGGATTTTAAAGATGATCTTAAAGACTTTTTTTGGTACCAGGGATCAAACTCAGGACCTTATACCTGCAAAGCAGGCAAGGTGCCACTGAGCTAAATCCCTGGCCCTTAAAAGATTTTTTATAAAAGACGACTTTTATGGTGGACATGGGTCATAAGTTGTGAAATCTAATTCTGATAGAACCTTTTTTTTTTTTTTTTGTCTGGTACCAGGGATCGAAGTCCGGACCTTGCACTTGCGAGGCAGGCACTGGAACCACTGAGCTAAATCCCTGGTCCATGAAAGAACATTTTCTTTTTTTTGTACAGGGGATCGAACTTGGGTCCTTGCGCTTGCGCAGCAGGTGGTGAAACCACTGAGCTAAATCCCCGGCCCGAAATCTAATTCTGTTTGGTAATCTTTTTTGTTTTTGGTACTGGGGATCAAACTCGGGTCCTTGCGTTTGCGAGGCAGGTGGCAAAACCACTGAGCTAAATTCCTGGCCCTAGAATTGGTCTTTAGAGTATCAATCTTATTTTATATTTTTGCATTTGAGGTTTCAAAGACTTTGTTACTTTATATTTTATAATTGATGTTTGGTAGAAAATTATTTTTCATAATTTATAAAAGTATCACTGAAAAAGTTGCTAGAAACAAAAATTCTCTTAGCTTTGAGGAAATAGGTAATGTGGTTCTGAGGTAAATATCCATGTTTCTTCAAAATTACGGTGAGGTATAAATAATATGTTTTGTATACATTTTACACATTGTCTTTGGAGTTTTCTGGAGTATTGAGCCAACACTTGAATAATGTGTGTGCATATGTCTCTGCAATTTAAGGAGCCATCAGTGCACAGTCCTCAGCCTTGGCTGCATGTTGGAAGCACGAGTGCAAATGCCCCAGGGTGACCCAGACTGACTATTTCAGGGTTTCTAAAAGGCGGGATTACCACAGTACTAGGAGGATTAGAGCAAGGCCTCATGGAGGGCAGGGCCTGGGAGTTACCGCACCTAGAACCTGAGAGTTAGTGGTGGCTAGAACCCCGGCCTTCTCTCAGTACTGGGGGCTGACTTTTCAGGTTTGACTCATTACAGCTATGGTTAGGAGATCGAGGGAGAAGTCAGAGTGCCAGCTTCTTGGAGTGCAGTAATGAGTCCGGCATATTCAGGATCGATACCGATAGTCCTCAAAAGGCCAGAACCGCCCACGACCGTGAATCAGTGGTTACTGAGACTGTCGAACAGAGAGTACAGCCCGAGATTTGGATGGCTGTAAAAGGTGTGTTTTTCTTAGACATCCCCCACAAGCCTGGGGAATTTATAGTCTTTGCTTCAATAAAACAAGTGTGTACGTTTCTAGTATATTTTTATCATCTAAAAATGATGTCTCTCAATTAGGAAGGGGTTGGATAAGTACAGAAAAATTACTGTGCTTTGAATACTGTTATAGAATCCATGTATCTTACCAAATATTTGTGTTAAAACATTCTTCATTTGGACAGGTTATGATATACTGAATTAATTTAATTGCCTTAAAACTTTAAACTGGGTGTGTTGGAACAGGCCTGAAATCCCAGTCACTCTGGGGGCCCGAAACAGGAGGGTCACAAGTTCAAGGGCAGCTCAAGCAACTTTGCAAAACTCTTAAAAATAAAAAAGGAGCCAGGTGTGGTGTGGACGGCTGTAATCCCAGCACTTGGGAGGCTGAGGCAGGAGGGTCACCTTGCTGAGTTCAAGGGCAGCCTGAACTATACAGTGAGACCCTGTATCAAAGGAAAGGGGGGCTGTGGATGTAGTTCAGTGATAGGATGTGCCTGCATTCTCGGCACCACCAAAAAAATGTTTTTTCAAAATTCCATGTGAGACCTGAGGAGGGCTAGGGAGGGAGCTGTAGCTCAGTGGTAGGTGCTTGCCTAGTGTGGATGAGGCCCTGGTCGATCCTCAGTACTGCCAAAGGAAGAAAGAAGTCTTTGAGGAGAAGCGGCAGTTACTGGACTAAGGTTTGCCTATGTTTAGTTGTCTGTCTCTCTGTGTCTCTTGTATGCCTGTGCATGTGTGTGCATATCTTAGATTTAAGCATTGCTGGCAAGGGGAGAATTTTGGCAAATGGTTAAAAACACTGTTTTTTAATTGCTGATTTTTGAAGTTTCTTCTTCACAGAGTTTTCTAAGTTCTTTATATCTTGTGATAGCTGTTTATTTTATTTCTGTATCAGTTACTGATGTTCTAGTTCATTGAAATTATAGTTTATTCTGTGGTTCTTGCTGGGATATACTCCATCTACTGAGTTCTGACAATTCGTAGTTCATTCTCTTCCCTTATAAGGTGTGAAAAACCCAAAGACTAAATTGAGCAGCTCCAGAGTCTTAGGGAGACTTGGAGAAAGGTTTTGTGGGGGGCAGGGTTTGAATGAGAGAACTAAGACAGAGGAAGCCCGAGGCCAAGCTCGGTGGGGTCAGGGTGTGCTGGTGGCTGCCCAACCAGGTTGCCCCAGGCTGGCCTTCGTATGGGTGCGTTTGAATTGTGTCTGCCACGCATTAGCCACGAGCTTGGTTATGTCAAAATATATGTCGGCCCATGGTTTTAGTTTTTGGCTTGGATCTAATTCTCAGAATTATTATTAGAACCCAAATATATTACCAATTAAGTATCTCACAGTATAAAGTTATAAAATTGCCCCTTATGATCCCAGCCTTGTAGTAGCTATTTCCTTTAGCAAAAGGAAATTTTGTGATTTGTAAACCCTTCTTTCCCTCCTGTCCATTGATATGAGCAGCAGTTAGATAACTATGAGCTGTAAATTTAAAGCATAGTCACTAAAACCAGTTGCTAACATAATCCATTCTGAGTCGACACTCTGCTCTCTTCCCTTCCTCCACATGGTGAAACTGGGGGTGTGATGGGCGTTGCCTCAGCCCAGAGTCCGTTGCTCATCACCATGGGTTAGCGATGGTCGGTTCTGTATCTGTCCTCGACGTCAAAGCAGATTTGAACGAGAACTTTTCGCTTTAAACTAGTTTGTTCACCCTATTCCTGCTGTGTGCTGGATACTACAAAATAGGAGGAGCAAAATTAGACGAAGGCTCCCTTTCACTGAGTTTATGTTCTATGGAGGACACGCAGAAAATCAACAGTAAAGCAGGGAGAATGAGCAGGAAATCCAGGGCTGCTACAAGTTTTAAAGATTCACAGTGGCCAGTTAAAAACTAGATAAGATGGAAAAATATACAAGAAGGATAAAGGATTTTGCTTGCTTAAAACCAATGCATGTGTTCATTTTGATAATAAAAATAATATAATCAAAAAATTCTAAACATATAAAAGATATAAAATGAAAATTTAGTTTTCATGTGTTTTCACTTGAGTGGTAATCATGTTAAATTTTAATTTGTAGATTGATTCAGAAAGGATGTATACATCCTTTTATTAAAAAAGAAAAGGAAATAGTACTGGCATCATTAATATATTGTGAAGTAGCTAGCTTCCCCCCCATATATAAAAATTACGGCTATTTTTCTAATCAACACAAACAATGCTGACTGGTTTTTTTGGTACCAGGGATCGAACTCGGGACCTTGTGTTTGCAAGGCAGGTGGGGGAACCACTGAGCTCAATCCCCAGCCCAATGCTGACTTTAATATCTGCACAATATTCCTTGTAGGAAATACTTTAATTTCTCTAACCAGTCACCAATCAATGGCTATTAAATTGAATGCCTTTCCATTAATTTATCTTGCTTTTTAAACTATCTTGACACATAATTTTGGAGGTTCTTGCAAGTTATTACTGTTTCCTACTTTATTTTCTACTCTTTCAGAAACATCTTAAAGAATAGACGTCATTAAAAAAAAGAATGGAGGGCCGGGGATTTAGCTCAGTGGTTCCACCGCCTACCTCTCAAGCACAAGGTCCCAAATTCGATCCCCAGTACCAAAAAAAAAAAAAAAAGAATGGATGTCATAATTGTATTGTAACCCTGTACTTTTCTGTAATTTAATTAAAGCCCCTAGTTTTTAATGCACAATTTATAAATTATTATATAGTATTTTTTATATAAAAAGTTTACTTTTTATTAAAATAAGTCTTCAAAATGAGAATACTTGTAGATGTTGAATATACTTGAAACTTTTCTAGGAACATATATACAGTAAATATGTAAGGTAGATACTTAAGTCTTGATGAACCTCAAATATCAATTATTGATTAAATTGGAAATAGATTATTTGATACTATTACAGATCAAATTAATAGTTTGATTTCACAATATTCATTTTTTTGATTACAGATCATTGAAACTATGCCGATGACTGAGAAAGTTGAAGAATTGCTACATGTCATAGGTCCATTTTATGAAATTGTAGAAGACAAAAAGAGTGGCAGGAGTTCTGATTTAACCTCAGGTTGGACTCTTTCACCTATTTTTAAATTTAGCCAGTTATTATGCATGCATTAATATTTATATATCTAATTTTTATTTTTACTTTCACATGCCAGTCCGACTGGAGAAAATCTCTAAATATTTAGAAGGTAGGAATAGTGAAATCCATGTAAAACTTTTGTCTGTATGTATATGCCAAAAGAATTCTGCACAAGTTTGTATAACAGCAAGTCGTCATCTAAGAGTTTTCATTCCAAGCAAATATATTAAAATTCCAAAATACAATAATCCCTTAAGTTTTCAGCCTTAAATATTAAGTTACTAAAACATGCCCGGTGCTTTACTTCGCTTATACAAAGTTATAACACATTTTAAAAAAAAAATTATTTTGAGGCAAGGCCTTGCTATGTAACCCAGGCTGGTTTTCAACTCATTATTCTCCTCCTGCCTCAGTGTGTGAAGTGCTGGGATTATAGACATGCACCACCACCAGGCCATAATTTTGTTTTGATGAATTATTTTCTGTTGTGGTTTATATATTAACAATGCCATGGGTTAAATGATTTTCCATCAAATTTTAAAATGGATATTTACAGTATAGGTTAACTCTTTAATACAGCAAGCTAAAATAAGGGATCAGTGAATTTAACTTTTTGTTTCATTTTTTCAGTAAAAGATTAAGAGTTTTCGCAAGCGTAAGGTCCCGAGTTCGATCCCTGGTACCAAAAAAACCCAAAACAAAATGATTAAGAGTTTTGTTTTGCTTAGTAGCAGGAGTTTAATAAAATGCAAAATTTTATGGTAATAATTGTAAACATTTGCTCTTTAAATTTTTTAAAAGTAATTCCACCACCCCTGAGTCTGAGGCAGGAGGATTGTCATGAGTTTAAGGCCAGCCTACACTACAAAGTAAGACCCTGTCTCAGAAAAAATTTTTATTTTTTAGTTTTAGAGAATCATCTTAAAACTACAGAGTAAATTTAAATGAAAATTGAATAATTAGAAATTATCCTGCATCCTTGTTTATAAAGCACCTTTTAATAACTGACAGAAATGTTTCATTATTTCACAGCAGTAATTTTCTTGTAGTGTAATAAAGCTTTGTAGTTTTTGTCTGTCATGGTAATAAACCATATACAACTAATACTGGGTATAACTATGTACCACACCTTTTTATATCTGATTTTCTTAGAGGAGTCAAATATTAACAAATAGTTCTCTTTGTCCTTTGTGCTTATTCACTTAAGGAAATGAAAGTGAGATGTTTTCTCTGTGTTAGCCATTTTGTTGGACTGCAGAGGGGAATACATCTAGATCTACTTTAGTAGTGTCTAACGTGGTGGCAGAGGCAGATATTGGAACAAGTAAGTGCAAAACAGGGAAGAAGCTGGGCATGGTGGTGCACACCTGTAGTCCCCGTGCTCAGGAGGCTGGGGCAGGAGGATTGCTACCAGTTCAAGGCCACCTGGGCTACATGGTGAGTTCGAGGCCAGCCTGAACTGTGTAGCAAGACCCTGTCTCAAAAAATAAATAAATAGATGAATAAAATAAAGCTATTCACATGTTTTTCTGCAAAAACCTTAGTACTAATTTCTTAGTGACAGGTGCTTGAGTCTCTGTTGCAGTTATGTAGTATACCATATCACCTTTGCACAACTAGAAAACCTGTGGTTTCAAAATACATCTGGATTGGGCCAGGGGTGTAGGTCAGTGGCACCGTGCCTGCCTTGCAAGTGCAGGGACCTGAGTTCAATCCCTGGTACTGAAAAAAAAAAAAAAAAATATATATATATATGGATCTAAGGGTTGTAAGTCAGGAATGGTGGACCCAAACACAGCTTATTTAACCTGAGCCATTCGGATGGACATGTAGATCATTTTCTCTTGTTGATCTTCAAAAAATTCTGCTGAGAGTAACTATGTACATAATACCATTTTACATACATGGAATAATATCTGTAAGAAATAATATTGGAAGTAGAATTACAGGTATTTATTTATTTATTTTTTGGTGATACTGGGGATCAAACTTAGGACCTTGTGCTTGTCAGGCAGGTGTGCCACTGAGCTAAATCCCCAGGCCACTTACTTATTTTTTTGAAGCAAAACATTTATTGGTATATTTTAGATACACATTAGCATTCATCATAGAGAATTTGTAGCTGTGCATGACATATCTTTCTGCTTTTTCCCCCATTCCTCTCCCCTCCCTTTGACCCGCCTTTCCTTGCTTATTTACAGAAGCTTTGTTTCCATTTTTTCCTTCTATTCTTTTTTTTTAGAATTACAGATATTTATAATCTTATAAGAATTGCCTAATTGCAAACCAGTTTGCAATCTTCACTTTAAAAACAAAACGAAACAAAACATTAAAAGTAGCTGTTTAGGTGCTGGGGATTTAGCTCAGTGGTTCTGCGCCTGCCTTGCCAAGTCCAAGGTCCTGAGTTCGATCGGCAGTTACAAAAAACAAAACAAAACAAAATGTAGCTGTTTAGGCCTGGTTTAACAGGTGTATCAATTTCACACAGCCTTTCACAATATAAATACAGTAAGTTGAAATTAGAAGTATGAGTACTCTAATTTTGTTCTTTTCCAGAGTGCTGTGGTCATTCTTGATACTGGATTCATTTTCTTATGATTTTTAAAATGTTTATCCATTTTGCATAAAAGTTACCTGGGGTTTTGATAGGAATTGCAAGGAATTTGTAGATCATTTTGGGAAGTATTGCCATTTCAATAGTCATGAACATGTGCTGTCTTTCCATATTTTAGATCTTCACTTTCTTTGTACCGTGTTTTGTCATTTGCAGTGTTTTATATCTTCTTTTAAATGTATTCCTAAATATTTTATCCTTTTGTTGCTACTGTAAATTGGATTGTCTGATTTCATTTTCATTTCACTGTTAGTTTGTAAAAGTGCAGTTGATCTTTTGTGTTGCATTCTCATGGAGCTGTTTAGGGCCAGGGATTTAGCTCAGTGGTTCCACTGCCTGTCTCAAAAGCGCAAGGTCCCGAGTTTGATCCCCGGTACCAAAAAACAAACAAACAAACTCATGGAGCTGTTTAGCAGTTTTTCTGTGTATTCTCTAGGATTTTCTTTATGTGCCATCCATCTGTAAAGAGATCATTTTACTTCATCCTTTCTAATCTGAGCGCCTCTTATTTTGTTGTTGCCCAACTCCCCTGGCTAGAACTTGGAGTATAATATTAAGGGTGGCATGTTTGTCATGTTCCCACCTCTGGGACAGTAGATGTACCCCTCAAAACTTGAAGGAGGAGAGGGTGATTTTGGCTCGAGGTTTCATGACAGATTGGCTCCAAGGCAGGTTTGGCAGAGTGGAAGGGCATGGGGAGGAAAACTGCGCAACCCATGCAGCCAGGAAGCAGAGAAAAGGGGGGAGCCGGGGACAGAAACACCCTTCCGAGCAGCTCCTAGGGCCGCCTCTTCAGACCAGGAGCCACTTCCTGACAGCACATGAGGCTTTGAACCCATCAGAGTAACCCACTGACGACCCAGTCACCTTCCAAACATGGGAGACTTTGGGGATCACTTTAGATCTAAACTGTAACAGATGGCAAGCACAGAGGACTTTGGCTTGCACCTTATTTTAGTAGGCTTTTTGTTTTAGGACAGGATCTTACTATGTTGTCCATTATGACCTCAAATCCCTGGGCTGGGCTTCTTGCCTGGGCTCAATTATAGTTTCTCTTGAATAGCTTGCGGCACCATGCTCACCTTCTGAGGAGTGTTTTGACATAAAGATGCTAGTTGTGAGTTTTCCAGCAGCCCTTTGTCAAACAGTGGGAAATTCTCTTGTATTCTTAGTTTCTCCAGTGTTTTTTGTTTTTGTTTTGGTACCGGCGATTGAACTCAGGACCTTGTGCTTGCCAGGCAGGTGGCGGAACCACTGAGCTAAATCCCTGGTCTTCTCCAGGTTTTTTTAAATCATGAAGAAGTTTTGGATTTTGTTAAATATTTTTTCTTTGCCTATTGTGATAATCATATGGCTTTTGTCCTTAAGTCTCTTAATATTGGATGCTACATTAATTGGTTTGAGATGTTGAGTAGGGCTTATTGGAGATTCCTTTACCGTCTATGACAATTGCACTAGTGCTTTTACTGCTATCAGGTAATTTTGTTAGGACCTTTAATTTGCTGAGGTTGTGAGGGAGTTCCTGGGACATTTTGTTGAAGATGTTCATGGGTGATGAGTTGTTTTTTAAGGCAGGGTCTCGCTTTGTAACTAGTCTTGAACTCAATGTGTAGCTCCACCTTATAGCGATCTTCTGCCTCAGCCTCCCAAGTGCTGGGATTACAGGCGTGTGCCAACTAGGCGTGGCCTACTTTTTGTTTTAATTAGTGTTATTCATGCCTTTTCTGGTTGTCATTCCCACAAGGAATGTAACACATGTACTAATAAACCAAAAAAACAAAAACCAGAAAGTGATGATACTTGTGTACATAGCAGCTCCACACATGCGCATACAAGCAGTGTATAATACAGTACTTGAGGGCAGAGCAGGCCCAGGCAGAGCGTGTGCCTTCCATGTACAAGGTCATGGGTTTGATCCCAGCACCACAAAAACAAACTATAGTACTGCTATGATTCTCTTAATAGAAAAGAACTGAGTTTTGGTTCTTTTGGTCTGTTAACTAAGCAGAGTTAAATAAGAATATAGGCCTTACTGCTTAATATCTATGGATATTTTAGAATAAAACATGTTTTGGATGCAGAACAGCATCCAAAATGTATTTGTGTAAGTGAAAATAAAGCCTGACAAGGTATGAAGGAAGATCACTCCCTTGGTCTTTTTGGGAAGTCTCTAGTGTCCTAAAAGGAGCCTTAAGAAAATGCAGTCTTAGATCACCTGAGACCTGCAGATGAGCTCTCCGGGGACTGATGGGGACTTTCTAGACTGAGAAGCTCTGGCGTCTTTACACTTGGGGTATAACCACCATTACAGCAATTACTTCCTTGAGTACAGATCACAGTTAACTGAGACTTTGAAAATTTAAACATCACAAAGACACGAAAGTGTTCGACTATGGATCTGAAACCCTCGTGATGATAAAGGGCTAGATTTTAAAATGGAGTACCAGTATGACGATGAGATTGCTGGTAAGACTGAATCTCATGTTTTCAGCAAGTTAGCAAGCATCTCTTCATCTATTACATATGAAGGTCATTTATGTATACTTTTACTATATTTTTAAATTTCATTTTGAGATAGGATCTCACTGCATAGTCCAGATTGACCTCAAACTTGTGATCCTCCTGCTTCAGCCTCCTTAGTGCTGGGATTACATGCATGTATCACCATGCCTGGCTTATAACTTTATTATTTTGATTAATGTTAATTTAAAAGTAACCTATCCCTTTCTTAAGATAGCTTTATCATTTTTGTTATAGATTGATAATTGAAGGAATTTCTCTTTATATAGGTACAGAGACAGAATACTATTAATTATAAAATTCTAATATTTTAATTCAAAGTGATTTTACTAGTTATTTGTAAATTACAGCATTATTTTCTATTAGCACATTAGTGATTAAGTGGCCATTTCATGTTCTAGATCTTGGTAATGTTCTTACTTCTACTCCAAATGCCAAAACTATTAATGGAAAAGCTGAAAGCAGTGATAGTGGAGCTGAGTCAGAGGAAGAAGAGGTTCAGGAGGAAGTAAAGGGAGCAGAACAAAGTGGTAATGGTAAGTTTTGGATAATAGGTTAGTAATTTTGTACTGAATAAGAAGATACAAAGGCATTTGGGCTGATTGGTACCATGTCAAGTGAGCACAAGTGGTGGGCTATGGGCTGTTGTCTCTGTACGTAGGTTTGCTGTGGATTGGAGCGCTCTACTGTAGAGAACAGGGATAACCAGTCTTAAGAGAAATAAGTATTAATTGAAGGCTGATGAGAGTAGGCCACTCCTCCAAATGTACTGCATGAAATGCTGCGTTGGACATGTAGTACTTTAAGGTATTATCTCCAATGCATATATAACCAAGGACTGGAAACAAGTTAAACTCTCAATTATGAAAAATAAAATGGAATTCAAAGAATAAGAATACAGGCATAAATTTTGTCTTGTTGCTTTGTCTTGTGGTGCTGGGGATCAAACCCAAGGCCTCACACATGCTAGGCAAGCACTGTGCCACCGAGCTGTGCAGTACTTATGTTGTCCCCTGGCATGGGTTTTGATGAAGAGGGAACACTGAAATTGTGGGGTTCTACATTCCAGGAGCTTTGTTAAGTACTACCAGTGATTTGGGGGAAGACTGTTTTAGAAAAGGGAGACAGACATGAGAGTAAATCACACAACTTAGTTTGCCTTCACTTTCCAGTCTTTAAGGATCTTTTTATCAACTTTGTAGACCCCTTTGCAGTGCTAGATCTCATCTCTGTACCAGTTTGCCTGTGCCTAAGAAAGTGTAAAGACCTCGAGAGATTATTTTTTAAAGGGGATTATAGAAGATTCACAGGAAATGGAAGGAGTTTGGAAGCTAACACAGGTTTTGGCTGAGCTCTCAGAGTACAATAAATCTCTTTTCAAGGGTCTCCCCATCTCTGACCCAAGTAGAAAACCTTCAAAAGAGATTATTCAGGTTGGGGAAATGACTAATGGATATTAGCACACAGTATGCAGAAGTTGACTACTATGAATTTTTATGACTTGCCATTTTTCTTAACAGATAAGCAAATGATGAAGAAATCAGGAGAGCATAAGAATTTGGAAGTCATTGTCACTAACGGTTATGATAAAGACAGCTTTATTCAGGATGTACAGGATGGCATTCAGGCCACTTCTTTCCTGAATGGTGGAAGGGCTGAAGAAGTAAAACCTGTAGAGCAAAATGTGGAGCAAACTGGAAAAACTGCTGTCTGCGTTCACCAAGGTATTGTCCCCCGGTATTTCTTTGTCTAGCCTTTTTCCTGTGAATAGTATTCTTTAATAATTTTAGGATATTTGGGAATAGTTCAGAATTTTAAAATATTTTAAAGTAATATTTTAGGGTTTAATAATAAGGGTTTATATTTTTGAAAGACAGTGGATTAGGGCCAGAATTTTCATATTTTTGTTGAGTTTTTTTTTTTTTTTGGTACCAGGGATCAGACTCGGGTCCTTGGGCTTGTGAGGCAGGCAGCGGAAACACTGAGCTAAACCCTCAGCCCCTTTATTGAGACTTTTTGTGTGTGTGTTATCATATGACATTTTAGAATAAAATCTTTGAAATTTTTACTTTTACTCTTGATTATTTATTTTGACCTCTGATTAAATGATGCCTTTGTTTTCTAGTCACCTAGAAAAGTTACAGCCTTTTCATGTTTTAGGGCTCTAGGAGTGAGCCTATGTACGTGATGAACTATTAATATTGTAGAAGCCAGCCCAGAAACATCATTTCTTAGTGTAATCAAACTTGCATTGTTGCATCCCAAATTGAGGGCTAGTCCTAACTATTAGTTTGTTTTCTCATATAAGGTCATTAGGTTTTCTAAGATTTTCTCAGGGCAGTGTCTACATAGAATTCATTGACAAAATACGTTTTCATCCTTTCAAATAAAAGCTATCAACTAAATTGAAAGTTTTGGTAAGTTAAAGAAAGTATGGGGCTGGGGATTTAGCTCAGTGGTTCCGCCGCCTGCCTCTCAAGTGCAAGGTCCTGAGTTCAATCCCCAGTACCCCAAAAAAAAAAGTATGACTTGATAAATCAAATTTACATTTCAGTATGAACATAATGTAGAATTGATCCATTTTGAAAATGGAATAAATAAGTGTATTTTTTGATAGAATATACTTATACTACCTGGATATTTGTTCATATTTAGATATAAATGATGATCATATTGAAGATGTTTCAGGGATTCAGCATTTGACAAGTGATTCAGACAGTGAAGTTTACTGTGATTCTATGGAGCAGTTTGGACAAGAAGAGGTAAAAATGACATTTTCTGATTGGTAAGTTTTCAAAGTGGTATAACAAAATTCAGTGCATAACTTCTGTTAATAGCAGATGTACATGCTGTTCATCACTTTGAAAACATACTTCTAAAATATTTAAACATTCATATTTTTATTTTAGTGAATTAAAATACATAAAATTCTAGAGTATTCACAGAATAATAATTTAGAGTATTCTAATTAATTGTTTAAATTAATTTATAAGAATCCTGAGAAGATGGGATGAGGATGCAATGTGTTTGACACATTGAGTAATGAAGAAAATTGAACAGTTTTAAAGCAGTCTGTCTTCACATTGATTGTAATCCATTGGACTAAAATTGTTGTGGAAATAATCTTCAAATTTCAGTTAATTAAGATTTAATATTAGAAGAGAAATATGAAAAAAATTTATGTCCATGAGGGTTTTTTTTAATGAACATTTTTTTTTTTTTTTTGGTATCGGGGATCGAACTCAGGACCTTCTGCTTGCGAGGCAAGTGGTGGAACCACTGAGCTAAATCCCCGGCCCTAGGGTTTTTTTTAAACTTAACGTTTTCTGAAAACAGTGACAGCTGTATTTCTGTTCGACAGTTTCACATCCTTTCCCCACTCTTTCCTTCTTCCTGCTCTAATGCAGTTTCATTGTGTCTTAGAGAAAACCTTGTAGTTTTTCCCTCTGCAATAATCATTTTCACGTTTTATGTTTTCCTCTCTTTTTCTTTTTTTCTTGTTTTGGTACCGGAGATCGAACTCGGGACCTTGCGCTTGTGCAGCAGGCGTCGGAACCACTGAGCTAACTCCCCGGCCCCTTCCTCTCTTTTTCAATTCATAATGCAACTGAATATAATTCTTAAATTTTCTTCACTTTTAAAAACATGCAAAAAAAAAAAAAAAAAAGGAAAAAAACCTAGCTTTGGTCTGGGGATTTAGCTCAGTGGTTCTGCCGCCTGCCTCCCAAGCACAAGGTCCCAAGTTCGATCCCCAATACCAAAAACAAAACACAAGTAAAAACATGCAAACAAAGTATTTCTTAACTAAGCAGAAACATAAACAAATAGCACACATGGGAAAAATGATGACGAGGACAAACTGAGAATGAACTAAAATTGGTGAAAGTGAAAATGGAAAACAATAAAAACTCAGATCCCTTTTTGGCTAGGTGTGGTGGCCCCATCTTTAATCCCAACGCTTGGGGCTGAGGCAGGAGGACTACAATCTCAAGTGCAGTCCGCACAGTGCAGCGAAGAGATTGGGTAGGGTTAAATCTCAGGAATTAGCCCGGTACTAAACTGTAGTTTTGCTCCTGTTTTCTCTATAAAGCAGCAACTGGCTGAAAGCCTTCGTAGGGCTGGCTGTGTCTGGATCTTATGTAAATAAGACCTTTCTGCTGTTGGGGTTTTGCTCAACACCCGCCCTGACCTGCGCTGTTCTTCACCTTTCTGTCCATTTGGCCTGGAAGACGCTGCCTTCCCAGTCCATGCATTAATGCCTGTGGTCCTTTACACCTGCCTCAGGCGTCTCTTCCTGAAGGAAACCTTGCTCTAAGGAGCCATTATTATTATTATTATTTTTTGGTACCGGGGATCGATCTCAGGCCCTTGTGCTTGCGCAGCAGGTGACGAAACCATTGAGCGAAACCCTGGCCCAAGGAGCCATTATTAATTTGTCCTCAGACTTCCTCTCACTATCTTACCATTGAGATATTTAGCCTACCTGTTGATATACTTAAAACCTTTTTTTTTTTGGTACCGGGGCTCAAACTTGGGTCCTTGTGCTTGCGCAGCAGGCGGCGAAACCACTGAGCTAAATCCCCCGCCCACCTTTTTAAAATTATTACTTTACCATATTACTTTCAACTTCTTATGACAGATGATTTGGATAAATCATTATTTAAAAAAAAGTAAATATTTGAATCTTTTTTCAGGACTTTTGTAGTGCTGTTGCACGCAGTGATCTTTTTTGCCTTGCTGCTGGTATTTATATTACCTTGGTTTCTGTCCTTTCTGTGGAGTTCCTTGTCCAAAAGCGCTGTGTTACACCCCTGGTCTTACCGAATCCACGAGGTGATGGAGGATTCTGTGCTTGCTTGCTTTTCTTATTTTAATTTTTTAAATGGGACTGGAGATTGAACCCAAGACCTTTACAGTGAGCTACATTCCCAGCCCTCCCTCCTTTTTATTTTGTATTTTGAGACAGGGTTTCTTTAAGTTGTCCCGGATGGACTCAAATTTGTGATCCTCCTGCCTTAGTCTCTAGAGTGCTGGGATTACAGGCATGCAACCGTACCTGGCTGAGGACCACATGCTTTCTGTTGCCTCAGCCCACTTAAATTACTGTTTGAAACAGTCTTTTTTTATTTCAAAGTTTTTGTTTTCAGGCAAGCTAGGTAAGTTGAGTATTTCCTAGGTCCCGTTCTGAAAGGTGGGCATTTCTTACAAGTCCCCAGTGATGCTGCTGCTGGGGTCTGCAGACCACACCGGGTGCAGAGCTCCAGTGCCAGTAGAACTGGGGTGTATGGTCGTCAGTCCAGCCCTCTTCCCTTCCTCTCATCCGATACTCTGCCGTCTGCTGTTCAGAGGAGACAGAAGCCACGAGGCTGCTGCTCCTTGGATTTTGTGCCATGACTCTTCCTTCTTTAACTGACTGTAAGCTGCTCCTCTTCACTCTTTGCCACCTTCTTGCCACCTCAAAGCATGACATGATCTTCCCGTTTCTCTGCATTGCTGATTCCTCCTCCTTCGGGGTTTCATCTTTCCTACCCTTTCTACACCATCACCATCCACCACCATTGTTTCTCTTCTGGCTCTTTCTTCTCAAAATACACATTCATAGCCCTTCTGTCGTTGAAAGAAAATATTCACTTAACTTGGTGATACCTTCTAACTGTTGTTTTACCTCTTTCCTTCACTTTATGACCAGGTGTTTTTTTTGTATTCATGTATTGTATTCATTTACCTTAGTCAGATTTTTGCCATACTTGCCAACACGTCTCTGTTGCTAAATAGAAAAGTTACTTTGTATTTCCGGTTCCTTGAATACCATTAAACAATATTAGCTAAGGTCTCCTTGAAAATACTCCATTGTACCATTCTTTTAAAGCTGTCTTTTGTGTGATAGGGGTTGGTTGTTTTTAACCTCTCAGGTTTCTTGTAGGCTTCCTCTTACGGTTTTCTTTTTCTGTTGAATCCTTAAATTTAATGTTTTCGGGAAAATAACCCTAGTTATTGCTTCCTTGGTTTCAGCCATCACTCACAGGCTGAAGACTCTTGAAATGATAAACCCAGTGTTTTATTTCTCTTTGGAATTGCACGTGCCCTACTAGACATCCCTAGGGACCTCACATTTAACTTACCCGTGACCACCATCATCTCTTTCTGTTCCCTGAAATCTCCTTTTCATCCACATTGCTTAGCTTGCTCAGTATCACTAGACCTTCTTGTCCCCAGAGACTCTCCCTTACTTTAACCCCACATTCAGTCTTTTTAAGGCATGTTGATTCTTTAATCTTAAAAGTTCTCAAAGCATCCTATATCTCAGCTGTTTTATTCATGCTGTCATTACATGGATTCTACTTGTTTGTTCTTCCAGTCACAGTTTCTGTCATTTCTTCAAGGGCTTCCTGACCAAGTTTCTACCCAGCCTCAGTATGGTTTAGGTGCTTCTCCTTTGAGCTCCTGTAGCTTATCTTTTTCATTAAAGTTTAATAGAACTTTAATAAAACTTATGGAGTGTTATTGTAATAATCTTCACTGCCTCCTCTTACTAAGGCTGTACGCTTCTTGCAGGCAGGGATCTTCATAGTATTCTTCGAGTTTATTGTAGTAACTAAGATAAGCATTACAAATAGTGACTAAAAAAAATACAGTAAGTGTTAAAAAACTTACTATAGTTAAAATCATATTGCCAAGAATGATGGGGTAAATGTGTTCAAAATAAGGAGGAATATTTTTGAGGGGGATTAATGGCAACTTTTTTTTTTTTTGGTACCGGGGATCGAACTCCTTGGGTCCTTGCACTTTCGAGGCAGGCGGTGGAACCACTGAGCTGAATCCCCGGCCCCTGCAATTTGTCTTTTACTGTACTCAATTTTTTTTTTTGGTACCGGGGATCGAACTCGGGTCCTTGTACTTGCGCAGCAGGCGGTGAAACCACGGAGCTAAATCCCCGGCCCCGAAATATTTTACTTTTTCTTTTTTTTTTGGTACCGGGGATCAAACTCAGGACCTTGCACTTGTGAGGCAGGCACCAGAACCACTGAGCTAAATCGCCAGCCCTGTACTCAATTTTTAAAACATTTACCAGATTTTATGATCATTCCTTGTTGATCTAATGTTTACAGCAATTTTGTCCAATAAAAACATTACTGTTTGTTTTCCTCTACCTCATTCACTGAATTTGGCACCATGCATCTTACGGACCACGAAAGATCATGTTTTTAATTGATTGAGGAATCGAGGCTGCCATGACAGGCCAACTAAAGACACAAACAAGTTCTTCCAGAACTAATTCAGAAAACGGAAAGAGTGATGGGATAAGTGTGTTTCAAGTAATGGGGGAGTATTTTGAGGAGGAAAAAGGCAACGAGTCTCCTACTACAATAAAAACCTCAAACATTCGCTGTAGTATTTAGTCAGACTTTACTGGCATTTACATATTTCTTCAATAATCTATGGATCTGTGCGGATTCACTGCCAAAACTCAGCCCCTTGCGCACGGGCAAAGTGTCTTGTAGCCCAGTGTTTCTTGCCAACTGGAAACTAAATGTGAATCCAAGAGTTTCTTAGGAAAAAGAATATTTCCAGTCATAACATGAAAGAACATTGTTTCTTTTACCATGAAAACTTTGTGGTGTATATATGTACAGTTTTTGACCAAATACCATTTTAAATTTATAGTCTTTAGATAATTTTACGTCAGACATTGGACCATTTCACTATTACGTGGGTGGTGATCCCACCACACCCTTGGAAAATTCTGGTTTCCCTGAAGATGTTCAAGGACCACCCGGAACTGGGAGCATTGGGACTGTGCAGGTGGTAGCAGTAAAAGGTGAAGTAAAACATGGAGGAGAAGATGGCAGAAGTAACAGTGGAGCACCACCCCATGAGAAGCGAGCAGGAGAGAGCGAGGAACTCTCTAATGTCAGAAGAGGGAGAGGTAAGCATTGCCGTTCTCACCCCGAGAGCTACTCTTTGTAAAGTACTGAAATGGAGGAGTTCTAGGCGGAAAAGTCAATAGGACATGCACAGTGTAAAGGCCACTGAAAGGTGTAAGTTATCCTTACATAACATCTAACAATTTTTCTTCATGTCTAGTTCTCTCCTTTGACTCCATGCATGGAGCACTGTGTTCTCTGAAGTACCAGGGAAAAGATTTTTATTTCTAAATCTTTTATCACATTTTTGGAGGTAATCAAATTTTTGTTCTGTTTTCCACTGAGCACTCACTGACTGTTCCAACTGTGCTCCCCCCCCCCCTTTATAGGTAAAATTTGAATTATCTTTTCCACATTTTCCCACTTAGGGGAATTTAACATTGTAAAAATAAATGTAATAGTAATCACCGGGCACGATGGCTCATACCTATAATCCCTATTATAGGTAGGCAGTTCAAAGCCATTCTGGGCAACTTAGCAAGATCCCGTATCAAAGTAAAAAATAAAATTAAAAGAAGGGGCCAGGGAATATAGCTTACTGCAGATGCCCTAGGTTCAATCCCCAGAAGGGAAAAAAAAAAAGAAAAGAAAAAAGGCTTGCTATGATCAAGTAATAGAGTAGAGTAGGGAAGAAAATGAATATATTCATTTTAATTGTTTCTGGTAAGGAATTAATAGATACTGTAAAAAAGAATTAAGAGGAAAAAAGGCTGTTATAGAAAGTTATTGTCTGTGGTATAGTATGCTTAGCATGCATGAAACCCTGGGTTTACTCTTCAGCACTGAAAACAGATTTTTTTTTTTAATAGTATTAGGGATTGACCCCAGGACTTCCATACTGAGTTACATTCCCGGCCCTTTTCTTTTCTTTTTACTTTTTTTTGGTCTCGGGGATCAAACTCAGGTCCTTCCACTTGTGCAGCAGGTGGCGAAACCACTGAGCTAAATCCCCGGCCCAACCGGCCCTTATATTTTATTTTTTAAATGTTTACATTTTGAGTCTAGGTCTTGTTAATTGCTAACTTCCCCATGCTGGGCTTGAACTTGTGGTCCTCCTACTTCATTATAAGCACTACCACCATCCTCAGCCTCCCAGGCTTTTATTTTCAATCTTGTTACCTTTTTGTTTTTATTATT